GAGGATGGGTCTTAATTCTGTCCAGGAATTTCCAGGGAACATCTAATGTTTACTAAGCTGCAGTTTGCTATGCTCAGGCTCTGGAGATAAAGTGACAGGCAAGTGAAACTTTCTACTCTCTCAGAAAATGAAATATTGATCACTTATCATAAGAAACAGGGACAGGGCATCAGTGGGCTCCACACGGTGAATACACGATGAGTTACTGACACTTGTACGTTACCACCGCTTGCTACACCTTAAAGTATCACCGATGTTCCCCGATGACACGTCCCAGCAAGTATTTAATGACTGTACCTCACAGAGCCTTTAAGGATTTAACATTAATTCCCCTAGAATTTCATTATTTGTATAAAACATTCATTTGTGCACATCTTTAGGTAAGAGATCCTTTCTGTTTTCAGGAAAATGAAAATGAAGGCCACTTATGTTGTGAAGAACTGCAACTGTGATACCAGGGTCTCAGAAACAAGAACATTCTACTTAAATTACGTTCTTTCTAAAGACGAAGAGGACACAAGAGCCATAAACACGTAGGGATTGTAAGAGCAGGGTTGTTGATGCAGAATGGACAAAACCAGTGACGTCTCTGAAATGATAATGTTGCTTATTAACCATATATGTTGTGATAGGTCAAAGCTGAGGTCAAACAGAAAACATCAATTGAGCCATTTCCCTGAATAAAGCTCCAGGGTGCAATATTCTAAGCACTTCATTCAATAAAAAATGCTTTTAAAACGGTGCTTTGGTGATTGGGAAGCATTGCCATCATCCGTCAACCTAACTGCAGCAAAGTTCAATAAGCTAAATAATGAACCATTTAGATTATTTTCCTTGGGCCTTAGGGATTTGCAAACATTGCATCAATAGAGCTCTTTAAAAATTATGACGAACTCTATTTTCTTCATTTTCAGATTTAAAATATGTGTTAGGGATTTTTTTTTAAGATTTAAATGGGCTGCTACTTTTAATCATTGTCCAATCTCCAAAGTAGAAAGAAATTTTAAACAAGGAAAAAATTCTAATTATAAGATTAGCAGTTTCTATCTGATTCCGGTAATCTTGGAATTGATGAGATTCCCTCTCTATTGTGAATACCTAATTTAAGATTTAGAAAGTGTTATGAGTTATATAAAAACCTAAAGATGAAAAATTCCATGTATTTTCAATAAAATTTATATTTACTTTTGGCGGGTAACAAGGTAAATATGTAATATAGTATTTTTACAACTTCTAATAAAATTTTTCTTGAGAAACATCTGTGGTCTCAGTTTCCTAGGCTTAAGCCTGGGAAATAGTTCTTTTTCAATATATAATCGCATGCAATTTTTGAGAATTTCTAGAATGTTATATAATACAGAAAAAAATGTGTTCAACCCTTTCTTTGTATGAAAAGGAACGTGGTCCATTTCCTTTAAAGGGCCGTGACCAGGGGCCCACATCTGTTTCAAAGCATACAATGGAATGCTAAGATGGCAATTTATACATCATCTAAATCTTAGCTCTTCCTCTGAGCAGTTTCTCCTAGATTTCCTATTACCAAATAAAAATATGTGCTACATACACGATTCCCAAAGCTGCATGCAGTTTGGCCACAACAGATGTCTCCATATTTATTGGTCAACACAATCTAGAGTGTACCAGTGGTGCTAATGAAGTCCCATCCCCCGACCAGCAGACTCCAGACCAAGCACACCGAGGAGGAGAGCCGGAGAGATGGCGGAACTGGGCCTCCCCACGCGCCCCGTGCCCGCCTCCCTGTGCGTGATGAGCCGGCTACCCTGCGCAGCTCCTCAACCACCTGCCACACCACGGCCAGTCCCAGTGTTCACAGGCCGCGCCAGCGATCCTGAGAAGAGCTGGGTGACGCTGGGACTCCACAGCGATGGGGATTCGCCATCACAAGGTCATCAGGCAGCAGAACAGGGAAAGACCTTTTACTGCGAGACTCGAGACTCGGCCTGGCTATGGACTCCAGGGCTCTGGCCCCTGCTCGAACATCAAGGCCTGATATTCCCAGGAAACTGATTTCTAGATAAATACCACGGACAGCTCCCTCCTTTCTGCCCAAGGCGGGGCCGTCCCAGCACCTCCCTGCAGCCTGGGCCTCAAGGGCCCAGCTGAGACCCGCACACCTGCAGGGCGGTGGGGGGGGGTGGTGGTGGCTGAGACCCACACACCCGCGGCGGGGCGGTCCGGATGAGACCCTCACAGGGCACAAAAGAAGACAAGAGTCTGAGGAGGCCGAGAGAGAGCACCGCCCCTCCCCTCAAACACCTGTGGTACCGCGTCATGCCCAAAAGGTGCCGGGTCGACCCCCACAAGCTGTTATGAAGGTGATGGTTCAGGATCAAACAGGCTTTGAGATCCTTCTTTGCCTTCAGGCTCTTTCATTCTTTTCAGTTTAATTTAAAAACTAATTATAAGAATAATAAAGTTACTGTAAAAATGTCTAATAGTAATACAACAGGGTTTAAAAGAGTGGAAGTTCCCTCTACCCCAGCCCTGACGAGCCCACTGTCAGCTGGTTGTGAACCAACAAGAGCATCCTGGGTGGGGTGCAGGCAGAGGCGTGGGGAGAAGTTGGGGTGCACGGGAATGACTTGAGCACAGCAACCTGAACGCTTCATGTCTGCGAGGCGCTCTGAGCCCCACGCAAGCTATGTGACCCGCAGTGTGCCCGGGACACCGGGGGTGCGTGAGGAGGCCTGCTCCAGCTAAATCAGCCCTGAGCAGAACCCCACAGTGCAGGGGGCCCAGGGCTGCAGGGGTGTGGCAGGCAGCTGCAGGGGGCGGGGCGGGGGGGGGGGGCGGGAGGTGTCTCCATGTGAGCGAGCATTGCAGGGAGGCCTGGAGCTAGTGAAACTGGTCTCAGCTTTCCGCGTTTAAAGAAAAACAACTGAACTTTCATCTTTTTGGCTGTTTTTCACCACCTCTAAGCTTTTACATGAGTAATGACATGTCCTAATTTCTAAAGTAGCTTGTTCAGTTATCGTGGGCTAATTTCCTGACTAAATAAACAAGGCAGTGCCTGTTTAACTACCTCTTCAAAAATAAATTTGGTTTTCAAGTAATACAGCGGTGCATAAAGCTTAGTAAAACGCCGAGCGTCTGCTGGTGCACTTCGGGTTCCTCGTCATTATGAAATCAGAACAAGGTAACCAGGTCCCAAGTCTCTGTCTCCAGGGTGTGGCCTGCGGGGGACACTGCGGAGGGACCAGCACACGGGCACTCCACCTGCTGGCCGCGGTGCTTCCCGCACACCATAGGGAGCGCCCAGGGAAGACTCACAAGACTCAGTGGTTCTCAGCTGTGGGGGCCACTTAGTGCGTTTCCAGAATGGAGAAGCACCGGCCTCACACCAGGCCCAGCAATCAGCACTTCTGGAACCGAGCACAGGTACAGAAAAAGGCAGATACACAAAAAAGACTGAAGAAAACAAAACTGTCAGTCTCTGTGCCGTGCAGACAGGATGAAGGGTGCTGGTGAGCCCCTGTGGCTCCCAGACACAGACTGAGGGCGCCTCTGGGAACGAAACACATAAGGATGGTCGCAAGCAGCTTTCGAGGAACAAACAGGCCGGGCAGGACCGGCTGCTCCCAGCTGCAGGGAAGCAGGACACAAACCCCTGAGAGCCAGCACCCATAACACACGTCTACACAGTCCTCTCTGCCCCAGGTCCCAAGTTGGCTCTAGCTATGACTCACAGGACGCCTTTCCTAACACGGGAAACTTAACAGATGTATCTTCCGACCTCTTAATTAATTTTATTTAGCACGACAGGGATGCTCTTGTCAGTGCTCCGGACTCTGCAGTGCACGTTACGCCCCAGCACCTCAGCGCTCCTGGTTTCACGCTGTGGTTCCCAGCGGCAGCCTGAGGCCCCAGCCCCCCAGCCTCGCCGATGCGGACATCTCGGGGGAAAGCGGCGCCCAAGTTCCCTGCTGGGATGTCACCGGGGCAGAAGGACTGCGCTCTTCTGAAATACTCGTTTATGAGAATCACCGGGCTCCTCGCTCTAAAACATCAAATCTGATTTTTCTTTTTTAAACTGTGATTGACGGTACTTTTTGGGGGTTATTACATGATCCAATTTCATGGAGTATTTAAAGAAGCTTGTTTACTTATATTGCTCCCATGGTCGTTGGCTTGATTACAGAATCATCTCAAGAACCTTGAGTATAAGGGAGAGCATAAGAAAACGTTATTTAAAATATACTGGCTGAATAGGAATTGGGCAAATTAATTTAACAATGGCTTTTATCAATCTAAAAATAAAAAAAATGGGGGCGCCTGGGTGGTTCAGTCGGTTAAGTGTCTGACTTTGGCTCAGGTCGTGATCCCGGGGTCCTGGGATCGAGCTCTCTGCTCAGCAGGGAGCCCGCTTCTCCTCTCTGTTGCTCCCCCTGCTTGTGAGCGCACTCTCTCTCTCTCTCTGACAAAAACAAATAAAATCTTTAAACAAAATAAAAAAATAAAAATAAAAAAATGATGTAAGGTCAGAAATGACTAATTTGCCACATTTAAGATTTTACTGTTTCTGTCTTCTGTAGATTTTTGAAATGATTTATATCCCAATTCTCTTTTGAAATAAATATGCTACAGCTAAATTCTGGCAAAACAAAGAAACCCGGAAATTTAACACGTAAGCCTGACAATTCATGTGGAAGTATGAAGATGGGACGATGAGGGAGGAACAGTCCAGGCTCCAGCAGCTTTGTTAAGATCTGACTTGGTCACAAATCAGTTTACAAAATCAGTAAAACTCCGATTTTTCTCATGTGTTTTCCAGTAACTCACTCTTAAGACTTTCTGGAGTATGTGGACACATGAGGACCAAATGCACGGATCCAAAAGAGCCGTGTGGCCTTCAGGCCTGGAGCTAAGGCACCATTAGATGTGATAATAAAGCTCCCCTTGCATTCACGCCCCAGAAGAACGAATTCTCACGCCTCCGGTGCAGGTTTGAATCTGACATCCTCTAAGAGGCCCCGACTGACCTCGTCAGGGCTGGCGGCCTGGTAGGTGCGGTTCCCGTCGCTGAAGTCCTGGTCTGCCTCCGCGTACTCGGCCTCCGCGGTCACACCGGCTCGAGGCTCGTACACGGGGGTCACGTTGTGGCACAGTGCAATGGCCTTCACCGCGTCGTGGACTCGACTGCTAACACTTTTTCTCACTTTGGGAGCTGAGGATTGGGCCTTTTTTGGTGGCGTTGAACTGGCAGCGTTCCCGCTAGCTTGAGACTGCATCTGCTAAAATACGGAACGTCACAAAATTAGAGACACACGTAGACGATACTGGAGGTACCACCCTGCGTGATTTTTATGAGCGCATCAGTGAGGGATGAGACAAGCAGCTCTCACGTGCCGGGCCCGCTCACGTGCCGGGTCTGTGCCAGCACACTGGCGTCTCCTGGTCGGCACGGCGACCAGACTGTCTGTTGCAGTGCTTAGAGTCGGAGAGCTTTCCTTTTCTACATTCACTTGATCCACGGCATTGGCTTGCTAAGTCCGTAATAAGTCATGTTCGTTCTCCGTGCAAAGACGGGGTGAGTTAAAGAGCAAACCAGAGCCACATACTCCTAACTGCTTTCGTGTCTCATTAAAAAGTGCTGGACCTGAAGTGGACTAACACTAAAAGCAGGGAAAAAAGACTTACGAACCTTCCTGTAATACAATAAAGGAATTCAGCCTGTCACAGCCTCTGCATTAGAGCTAGTTTTGTGCATGACAGTAACCCCTGCATCCGACGAAAACTGATCCCCACCTCCTAGTTCAGACTCTCGCGCTCCGGACATGACTCCCTGCTCCCTGCGTTTGGCCCCCCCGCACCGGGCTGTGTTCGAGGGCACTCGCCTCCGGTGGTGGGGTGGGTGGCAGGCCGTTCCCCCCGCTCCCGGGGGAGGTGGAGCAGGACCACGGAGGCTCCTCGGTTACCTTCATGGCCACTCGTGACGGCCCTCCTGAGAAAGCCAGGCTCTCGCTTTTGGACGGGGCGTGCAGAGCCACCGAGCCATGACTACTCTGCCAGTGAAGTCACAGTGCTGTCTAATGAAGGGCTTGCCGGCGCCGCCTCTCGCCCGCGCTCGCCTCCCACCCGCGTGCCGCTCGCACAGCAAAGGGAGAGCGGCACGCAACACGGCTGACTCCCCTTAGGACTCTGTTTATCGATGGCTGTATAATTTAATTTCACACAAATGCCATTAAAGATTATGCCCTCCATCACCAAATGCTTCCGGAGGGGAAATATAATCAGATTATGAAAGATTCGTGTTACATTGCAGTGGACTTGGTAGACTATTATCATCTTAATAAAAGGACAGAATCTCAGGAATAAAATCAATTTTACAAAAGAGTACTATCTAATCAGCCAACCAACAGACAGCTTAGAAAAAAAGATTTTTAAAAGACCTCCTCCATGGAAATAAGTATTAAATATTTGCTATTTTTATACACTGACTCATCCTTTCTGTTTTTAATTTTTCTAGTAAAACAGCTTATTTGGAGCTATCAAAATCATATTCATGGATAATGTAAATTTATTTTTTTAAAAACAGATTTTACCTGGTACTGTTTTGACCTAGACTAGATTACCAGGAGAAGGGAAGTCTTTTTCCTTCTCCTTTTTAGATTTTCCTTCTGTTAATAAATGTTCTAGGTTACAAAATGCTCTGTATTGAACTGAATGACATCCAACTGAAGAAAGGGCTTGGTTTTAAGTGTATGTGTGCACGTATGTGTGCTTCTGTAAGTGATCATTACATACGATAAACACATATGCATTAGATACTTTTCATTTGACAGCGTCTTGAAAAGTAAAGTATACGCCATTCTGGTAAACATTACAGGGGAAGAGAAGGTTTTCACAAACTGAATGTAAGGCAGACAGTACACCTGAATTTGGTCAGAGCAGAAACTGCTCAGGGCGTGTGGCTCAGCCCCGTCTATGAAAGTCAAGTCGGAAGTATGACCGTCAATACACAGGGCCTACAGCCTCTGGGGGCACCGCTGCCAGATGGCCCGTGGGAGCCTCGAGGCGGCAGTGGTCTGTGTACATGCGAGCCCCCTCTTCCCTGGGGGGCGGGTGATGTGCACGTTTGCACCTGATATATGCTGGCCTGTTACGATGGGGGTGACCGAACCCCTCAACAGGCCAGCAGAGAGGCAGAAAAGCAGCCCTGGGTTCAAACCACAGCCTTGTGCGTGCGGCATCTTAGACGCCCTGGGCTTGCGAGGTTTGGTTACCCAGAATCAGTGAATTCAAATGAGCGCAACACGAACGCCTCCTGGGAACAGGCTAGGGGACCCGCGCGGCCTAAAATGAACCCTGCAGAGTGGCCTGTGTCTGCCTGCCCCACACCCCGTCATCTGTGGGAACACGTGGCCCTGTGGGCCCAATGTCAGGACCTGGTGAGGCAGGGCCTTCCCAGGCCACAGACGCACTTGCAGAGCGCACGGCCTACGAAGTCTCCGGCAAACGCTGTGGCTACGAGGCTGTGTATTTCCTGTTCCTGCAACCTCAGAGAGCTCCTGAGGCTCCAGGGAAAGGCCAAGATTTAGGATACATGCCCCCCGCCCCCGCCCAAGGAGTCCTTATCTAATCCAGACACAGACGACGTATTTGCAGATGAAATAACGCGACATTTGAGTTTCACTTCACAGTGGTATGGTGAAGGAGGAGAAGGGCTACGGAGGGAACCAGGTCTGCGGTGCATGGATAGCTGCTGAGGCAGAATGACAGGGACACTAGGGCTCGTGATACCGTGTGTCTACTTCTGTTTATTGAAGAAGCAAAAAAATATGAGAAAATCTTATTAATTATGAAGAAACCCAGAGGAACTGGTGAGAAACACCTGTGATGTAGTATTCTACTTCATAGTCTTAAAGATACTACCTATCCTGAGTAATTTTTTGGAGTATTTCACTAAGAAAATTATTTCATATGAGTAACTGGTTTAAGGTCATTATATCCCTTCTATTATTTTACAGTATAGAAATGCTTATTTAAAATTGGTTCAAAGACTGCTTCTTGATTTATAAATTAGAACTGAGTGTTTTAGGACATTCAAAGATGTTTGCTGATTTCCAGATTAGCGGATACAGCGGGTTCAGGCTGGCTCGACGGAGCCTGGCACTTTTGCAAGCAGTTCCCGTGCGGACGCCGATGAGCTTACCTGTGAGTATGGATTCCTGAGGTGGCTCTGGATCTCGTCCATTGTGTCTGCTCCATAAGACACGGTCCCCAGGTGCAGCCGCTTAAACACCATCTCGTTCTGGGTGAGGGTTCCTGCAACAAAGACCAGGTCACAGAGGAAAGCTCAACAGGACCAGGACTCCCCATCCCGTACACAGACATCCATGGGCCGAGCTCTCATACCTGGGTGCCCCTCGGCAGTGAGAATGCTCTGCTCTGTAATTCCAGCAGCTAGGAATGTCCTTCCCCACTGAGGACAAGTGTCCCTCCCAGATCCCTCCGGAAGAGCGTGCAGTAACGTGAAGGGCTCTAACTACCTGAAGAAAGTGTGGCCTCTGCCTTTCAGTTCAGATGCATTGTTTGGTACAAATAGAACTTCTGCCTGTTCTGAAAGAGACAGGCATGAAACTGGAAAACAGAGTCACTATCTTTGTAATTATACTCTAGAACACTGCCTGAGAAAGACATCAACTAGTCCCAAATTAGCGTGCCTACCAGTTTTTAAAAAAAACCCAATTTTGAAAAATTAAGTATTTGTCATTGAACAGAAACAGATGCATTTAACCCTTAGCACCGCTTGCATCGTGTGGAGCAAAAGAAAGGTCAGTGAGCAGGGAGGCACGTTCTCTTTAGCTGGGCTTCTGCCCGGTGAGCTGCCTGGAGGTGTTCACATCCCTCCAGATGGCCAGGGCTCACTCCTGGGGACGGCCAGTCCATGTAGGCCAGGCACTCACGTGTGCTTGAGCACGAGGAAGTGCTTCACTCCTGGTGTGTAAGGAAGGCAGTTAAGAGAGGAGCACACACAGGTCAATTTTATGAGATGTCTTGGGTCTGCCAAATACAGTGAAGTAACATTATGAAAGGCAGCGAGAGGTTAACGTTATTTCAAAAACGGTGAATTTTCATTAAAAGTGACACATAAATACACAATGTTACACATCTTCATGACTCTGAAAACCCCAAACATTGTGTATGTGTATCACTTAATATAAAAATGCACATACAATACACACGTATGATTTTTGCTTACTGGGTTTTCTAGAAGTAAAGCAACCTGAGGAAGCATGAACACCTGTGAGCACGTACGTCAGGTGCGGTAATGAAAAGTGCGGCCATGTAGTCTCCCCCGGGCTTTTCTGCACGCACCTCACAGCTCACAGAAGGACTACCCACTGACTGATATAATTATCAACGTGGATATGAACAATCCTAGCCCCAGTCAGTTAGAAGCTGGGCTTTCCACACGGCTACAAGACACCCATAAGATATTAACTAACTTTCTTTGGCACACGTGACGTGGAAGATATAATACAAAATGTTTTCGCATCTATCCATGACTCCATACACACTGGTGTTCAAGACAAAATAGTTCAGAACTCCCACTAGGACAGGAAGGCTACTTTAACATAAAGGAAAACCCATATTTCATGGACACTGTTTCAGAGACTGTTTTGATCAACCTTCTTACAAGAATGGATATAATACATACATTAGGGTCTCATAAACTTCAAAGAGCAGCTCTTCTCAGGGATGCTGATTAGTTTTAGAAATTTTGCTTTTTGCAAAATTCTATTTAGCCCTTTTAGTACCTCAATTAAATGGCACCTAAGTTTCCCGAAATCAAAATTATGTGAGAAGTACAGTTTAAAAGGGTTTTCTGGTTATGTCATCCTCATTAAGTAAAGCAGAATTAATTAAAATAGTAGTTTATATTAAAGAATGTAATTAAAAACAATTCAGCCTCCAAATGAAATAAGGAAGTTCTAGAAATTATTTACATCAAAGATTTGAGATGAAAACGATAGTTATCTATCATCAAAAGATAATGAAATTGTACATTAATTGCTATTAGAATAAGCACCAAGCTCCCTCTGTTACATATGCCCAAATGAGCAGTTCCCTGAAAAATTATTTAATATGTTATTTTAATAAAAAATGTTTTACTTATCAGATTGACATAATCAAAGAATTTCCTGTAGACACTTTTCCTGACATACACTGAATGTGAGGCTTCTAATCTACGGTGGGCTGTGGTAATGAGGCAGTTTATAAATACGACTACAATAAATAATACTTCTTTCAACCTTTTTATTACTAACAATTTTATACGTACGGCAAAAATAAGAATACTACACCTGCACAGTTCCTGCCAAGAATAAACTATTATTTCTTTAGGTTTGTAAACCAGTGAATGCAAGCGACCAAAGACCCTAAGTCCGGGGTCCCCTGCTCCGCTCACCAGCTCACACCGGCGGGATCCGCGGGGACGGCACTGGGGGTGCGTGCGCCCAGTTCACTCAGTGCGAAGACCCACCGCTTCACAGTGCTGTCGCTGTAACTGGATGGATCACTTCCGTAGCTCTTTTTTGTGAAAACTGAAGGCTAACTGACACACGCCATCTGTTTCAGGTGTACACAGCAGTGGGTCGCTATTTTTATACAAAACGCTCCCCATGGTAAGTGCAGTCGCCGTCTGTCACCGCGCAGCGTTCTACAGTATCACCAACCACACTCCCCAGGCTGTACTCTTCATCCCCGTGACTCATTTTATAACCGGAGGCTTGCGGCTCCCCACCCCCCTCCCCAGACCTCCCCTCTGGTAACCACCCATTTGTTCCCCATGTCTATGAGTCTGTTTCTCTTGCGTTTGGTTATTTAGATTCCACAACTCTGACTTTCTCGGACTCATTTCACTGAGCTCCATACCCTCTAGGTCCATCCTTTTTGTCAAAAATGGCAAGATTTCATTTTTATGGCTGAGTAACGTACGTCTCTACCACCTCTCCTGTATCCATTCGTCTATGGATGGATGCTTGCGAAGTGTCCAGATCTTGGCTATTGTAAATAATGCTGCTGCAAACATGGGGGTGGTGTGTATCTTTGTGAATTAGTGTTCATTTTCTTTGGATAAACACCCAGAAGTGCAATTGCTGGATCACATGGTGATTCCTTTTAACGTCTTGAGGAACCTCCATGCTGTTTTCCAGAGTGGCTGCACCAGCTTGCGTTCCCACCAGCCGTACCCGGCGGTTCCCCTCTGTCTGCATCCTCGCCAACACCTGTTGACTTTAGCCACTGTGACCTGTGTGAGGGAGATGTACCATCGTAGTTCTGATTTGTATTTCTCCCACGATTAGTGATGTTGAGCATCTTTTCATGTGTCTACAGGTATTCTTTGGAAAAATGTCTTTTCAGATCCTCTGCCTATTTTTAAACTGGGGTGTTTTAATTTTTTGATACTAAGTTGTCTAAGTTCTTCATATGTTTTTGGACATTAACCCCTTACAGGGTGGATGATTTGAAAATATCTGCTCCCATTCAATAGGTTCCTTTTTCATTTTGTTGATGGGTTTCCTTGGCTCTGGAGAGGCTTTTTAGTTTGATGAAATCCCATTTGATGTAATCCCGTTTGTTTATTTTAGCTTTTGCTGCCCTTCCCTGGAGAGACAGATCCAAATAAATGTTGATAAGGCCAATGTCAAAGAGATTACCGCCTGTGTTTTCCTCTAGAACTTCTATGGTTTCTGGTCTTCAGTTCTGTGTTCATCTTGTGTGGTGCAGGACAAAGGTCCAGTTTCGTTCTTCTGCACGCTGCTGTCCAGTTCTTCCAGCACTACGTACTGAGGAGACTGTCTACTCTTGCCCCTTTGTCCTACGTTAGTTGCCCATTTACGGGTGGGGTTTTTTCTGGGCTCTTGATTCTGTTCCCCTGGTCTGTGTGTGTGTTGTGCTGGGGCCACACTGTTAGGATTCTCTGGCTTTGCAGACGTTCTAGGGTCTAAGGCGTCACCATTCCCAGATCTCATAGCGCCCAGCTCCACCCACTCCTCCTCTAGGATGGTTGTTCTACCCTGTGGACGCACAGCCTTGGCCTCCCCTTCCGCCACCTGGCCCGCACGCCCCCTGACCAGCAGCACCTGCCCCTGCAGGAGCGCCACCTGAGCGCCTGAGTGCGGGCACTGCCGCCCCCCTGCCGCCCAACCCCCCACTGTGAAACACCGGCGGAGGCTGGCAGGGGGGTCCACAGGCGGGCAGGCGGAGTGCCCCACATGCCGCCCTCCATCATCCTCCCTGTCCTTTCTGCCAACGCTCAGACCTCCTCAAGCCAGCCACAGGGGTGTGGCGCGGGGCATCTCTCGCTGCTACGTGTACTCTGGGGCCCTCACCGCTCATCCCGACTTTCGAGCCTCGGGAATGGCTTCTGACCTCCTGACTGGTGCCACCTTCCTAGAGTAAGGACCCTTCATTCTCCCCTCCCTCAAACAGCACCAGCAACGTCCACCATCTACATGAAATGTCAGCTCCTTAGGATGGAAAGATCTCTTCACCATCCTTGCCAAACGTGCCCCTCGCACGTCAGCTTGCACGGCTTCTGCGCCCGCGTGGCTTTAAACACAGTCAACTCTCACATTCCCACCGCTTTCTAATAAACTTGGAATTCACTCATGCATTGGGCAAAAAACTCCTTTAAAGGCATCACTATGTGTTGGGTCTTTCGAGGCCGATGGGCCTGGGTGCGAGCCCTACTGGTCACCGTGCACTGAGGAACCTCTCACACCTCAGTGTGTCTGCAAATAAGGACATGACCATGGAGCTTGCACAGATGCGGCCAAGAGTAAATAAGATCGTGTACCAAGCGCCTGAGACACAAAGAGGTCACAAGAGTCCCTTTCCTCAGGAACCTCGTGATGCAGAGGAAGAGACAAGAGCACGAAACGAGTCTGCTCCCGAGCAGCACTGAGCCCACTGGGAACCACGTGCAGAGTCTGTGGCTGCTGGGGGAGGACAGTGGGGAGGGCTGCAGCACGGACACGTGTCCCGTGTGCTGTGGGCGCCTTGTGCTGTGCTTCGGGGGCCTGACTTCGTCCTGGGGACTCCCGCGGGGGTGACAGTGACTGGTCAGCGCGCAGTGATGACAGTAGGGGCCACAGTCCAGGAAGGTCTAGGGGAGGGAGGGGTGATGTGGCAGCTGGACACAGAGAGGAGGACACCAATCCGGAAGCTCAGGTGGCTGACCCTCCCGGGAATGGGGGAGAAGAAAGTAGGCAGAGCGAGGCTGAATCCGCTCAGGAAGCCGCAGATCTGAGGGGCCG